CTTCAGGCTACGCGCCAGGTAGGTCGTCGATCTTGATCGACTTGGGGTGTGGTTGCTCCTTTCCGGGTGGTTCCTTGTTCCTTTACTTGCGAGGTTTGACCGCTTCCTATAGCGGGGAAGTTGAGGGCGAGAAGGGAGACGATCGACCGGCCACGTAAACTCCGGCAACTGACACATGTATCTGGTAGAAATGACTTGATTAATGTATGGGCCAATATACTTCCCGCTACAGCTTCCAATCTTGTACCGAAGACACTTGTTCTTGATAAGGCAAATTCCACTCTGTTATTCCTTTAAGTCCTAGCGGTCCACTACCTACTACCCATCCCATGATTGTTCAAACTGGCCCTTTGTGGTACCCATAAGTGGGTACAAATCAGTCGATCTACTGCCACTTCGAATCGGGGTTATCGAAATAATTGCACTATATCGGATCGGCGATCAAGTATCGCAATGATTGCACGTTGTCGATCCAGTCTTGACCAGAATGGCGGTGCCTCCAGAATGATGGTTCGAGTCAAAATGATGATTCTGGTTGCGCACTTGAAATAGGCGACCCGTCGCAGCTGATTGGTCCATTTCCATCCGTCTCACATTCTCCAAATTTCTCAAGCGTTTCACCACAGTGCCACCCAATCAGGCACTTTTGCTGCGGGAGAAGTTCTCTTCGACACATTCCATCGGGGCTCGTGGAAGTGTCCAATGTAGTAGGCACGCCTTTGATTCGTTAACGGATCAAAGTTTCTAATTATGATTCAGCTACACCGGTTCAGCACGGCTCGGCGGTCGTGACCGTTGGAACGTGGAACGGTTAACGAACCGTTCGACTATCGCTGATGAGCTCGTACTGGACCGCTGTTGGTTAATAACCTGTTGGAGCGCTGTGATGGGATGAAGGTACAAGGCTATAGTGGTTCCGCCGCATTTACAACAAGACAACAAGACGGACAACAGAGAGATACTGTTTAGAGAGACATGCAGGACAGTTTTGGTTAACACTAATCTACTCACTTCAGCATTTGCATCCAATTTAACAAGTCGCAATACAGACAACGACGGTGCAAACATATCATACAAATCCACCATGAACGCTTGAAATTCAAAACACAAGATTTGCAAAGGTTAAAGTTAGAGCCATAAAAAAGTAAATTTCATTGACCGGCAGCTTAGCAAAGTACTGCCGACCTCGCGTCTGCCCTTTCATCCTGTCGTGAAGCTATCGCAACGTCAGCGGCCTTGGAAGGCTTAATACCTGAATCAGTGAATTGGCTGTGGGGGATTCTCCTGTCGTGGGAATAAAAAAGCGACTTCTATAGAGGATGGTGTTCAGAGGACGGCGAATTTCGCCGTCGTTGTCTGTAAATTAAGCATAGGATTGTGGACTTTTCCCCTTTATCGCTGACCAGCGTGTTCGGTCCAATCGGCAGAGATACGCCTGGCTTCAGCTGGAATGGCGGCCAGCAAACCACCAACCCCTTCATATCCCTCCAACTCGGTCTTTATTATTGTGCCTTTGTGGCGAAACGCGGTGAACACTTTGCCGACAAAGGGGCGTATAGTGAGACCCGGACTTGGGGGTCAACTTCTAGGATGTTGACACCAGAAATAACCCGAAAGTCGAGTT